TAAGCCTCTCCTTAGAAAGGAGGTTTTGGCCTACTATACCACGCTGGCCAGACGGGTTGGTGAACTGTGTCTATTGCACTCATATAACAAACCTGGGCTGAGGTATCAAAGATCATCAGCATTAAAAACAATGTGTGTATCGAATGGCAGTTATCGAGGCAATAAACCAGCCACATTAAATCTGACCTGGATAAGACCTTGTATCATTTTTATGTTGCGAACATAAATTTAAGCTCATACCTATGAACATTAAAAAAGTTCAATTCTATTTATCAACTTGAAATTGATGGAATTATATAAATAATATTATATTTCATTACATTTTCATTTATTCTTTTAATGTTTTTGTAACTTTTAATGTCATAATTTAGAATCTTCATGAATAATATTGATTAAAGATTGGATCGATGTTTGTACCTTAATCTCGTCAGAACGTTTCAATGGATCTATATGTAATTCAGTACAGAGATAGTATATAATTATACCGAAAAAAATGATTGACAAAATCGACATAAACAAACGCAAGAGAAACTGGGTTTCTAAAGCTGACCACAATATCCTCAATGACTTATCGATGAAGGATCAAAAGCAAAAGGACAGTTAAATTATTAAATAGAAAAAGTATATCCATGTTTTATTTTACATGTTAATATTATGACAACGTTCCTGAGTCGAGCGATTAATTCTTTAATTAACCAACCAGTGTAGTAATTTACCCATACAACCTTATACAAACAAAATTAAACAAATCAAAGATTTGCACGATACAAGGAAACTTGTCGTGCATGTGTCGACTGCAACTTGGTCCATATAGCTCTCGATAATGAAGTGTGTTCTCAACTTTAACCATTAAACCATAGTTTGTAAGCAACCCCTCGAGAACTTCCTAGCCATGGGACAGTTTTGCACCTCCCTCGCGATCGGTTGCATATTTACAAAGATACCTTACCATTTGCGCAGACTCAAGATACCTCTGAATTTTCTCGTATTTGTTTACTGATGGGATTTTTTATATGTATATATACCTGGTGTTATTTCTTTGTTGATACATAGTGGATTAAGTGTTCTTGGTCAGAATCAAGTGTCTTAAAGGCTATTTTAAATCTTTGATGTTTGAAAGATAATGTAAACATGGTTTGCTCATGCAATCATCTTGAAAACCCTTTTCTTTTTCTCTAAAAGGTTTGTCTTCAGTAGAAGCAGCTATTGTATTTTTATTATTTTTTTTAATATATTTCTTATTTTTCGGTTTTATCAAACGCTTCAATAATAAGTGCTTTAATGTTATTTGTTCTTCTTTAGCCTTCAATTTAAAATTAAATCTAAATCAGGCAGCACTGAAACTCTGCTAAATATTTCTATGTTACTTATAAATACGACTGCACGAATGGCGTAATGGTTTAAGCAGTAGCCACGCCGCTTACTACTACGCTGAGTGCTATGGGTTTGATCCCCACATGGGACGAAACTTTGTGTGATCCACAAATAATCCTTTGCAAAGTAAGAATATCCTGTAACACGGGGGGTGTTACAGGATATTGTTATTACCAATGCGGGAGTTGTCTTTAAAAAAAAAAAATTAACTATAAATACAACATGCACCCCCCGTTTTTCCTTTGTACCAGCAAATTCCACTGATCCAACACAAATTCTTCATTAAGCTCATCTTCAACTTCGTAACAATGCGTTTGAAATTATAATCGCGCTGGCAGTTTTAAAATTCCACTCAACGCTCCAGGCTTGCTCACAAAGTACAATATGTTAAGCGCTCACATGCCATTGAATTATGCAACAAAAACACGGGATGCGACACCGCACGAGACGACAGAATAAAATTTTAAACAATGCATTTCATACATGCCGCGGTGAACGCAAACACCACCCTTATCGCCTACCTGCACAATGTATATGCGCTAGTGAGGAACGATTTTTCTTTGGAGATCTAAAGCTCCATCCTGAACATCTTCACAGACTGTTTTCTTTACTAACATTTTATAACTTTTAGGAATTTCGAAGGACACAATTAAAGGTTGTGGGTAGCAAGGCGATTACCATTAACCGTATCGCTAGGTCGAGGCTCGTTACCCAGTCACCATTGTTCTGAGTCTTTTGATAGAATTTGATAGAATACCCAATTTTGTCGCCAACACCGCGTCAGCAGTTTGATTGTCCGGTTGTAAGTGACGAGTTTTAAACATTCCGATATATTTTAAACTTTTAATGATTCTATTTTGTTTTCTATATCGTGTTATTTTTCGACGACGGTTTTGCCGTTGTGAGATATAATATTTTGTTTCTTTTTATGTCACATTTTATATCTATTTTTGCTCTCGTTGTTATTGACATTAAAACGTTATATGCTTTTGGTTTAAACAATCTAACATCCTACTTCGATTATTCTTTCTCTTCTTTACACTACTGTTTTATAAATATCAAAATCTGATATGCATCAGTACAAAAACAATTAGTGTTTGATCATAATTGATATAATTGCCAATTTTCCCATCCATTGTCAATAATTACAGGAAGATAGGAAATCTTATTTCCCCTCCATTTCCTGATCAACAAGTGTATTTCCTTCCGTTAACAAAATAATTCGATGACATTAAGGACAAAGATAGCGACATTTTTTACTTAGAAACTGTGTATATTCTTTAAGAATACCTTTTTAAGAAGATGGTAGGTTTTATGGCCTAATGTTTTAAAACTAAATTAAAGTGTAATCATTATTAAAACAGACTTAAAACTTTGGAAAGGCTTTCAACCAAATGTATTTCTAAGACTGTTAAGCGAAGCTTTTTAAACATTTTAAGGGCCGAATTTATCCTGTTATAATCAATTTATTCCAATTATGTCTGTTTGTGGCAGTTCTGAATGTGATCTCAGCATTTTATTTAAAGTTTTGAAAGCTTAAAATGTAGCGGTTCTAATCATGGGGCTAAGATTAAACTTTATACATTCATCGGTCTGGTTCTGCAGTCTGTAGATAATAGCAGAATTTGAGCAGGTAAATTTCAGTAGATTTTTCTTTTATAACCGTACGAAAGTAGGACTCGTACACCAGTAAATTACCAGTGAGAGCTCAATGAATGTTAGCGAGGCCAATGTTAAGAGAATGGCATCTATATTTTAAATTTCCTTTAGCACTCGTTACTTCAGAGACGTCACCTATTTACTTATTTTTATCCCTGCCTTCGGCAAACTGGCCGAGAACGTCTACAGCTACAGGTTACTATTGTAAATTTTTATACATAAAGTCTTAATAAACAAATGAAACAATTTAAAAGTGATGTATGTCCAAAGTATGTTTTCAATTAAGCGGTTCAATTAAGGTTTAAACGGTCGCCACGCCGCTTCCTACTACGTCGAGTGTTGTGGGTTCAAACCCCACATGGGACGACACTTTGTGTGATCCACAAATTGTTGTTCTGAGCCTGGGTGTTCTTTGTGTCCGTTTCATGTATGTTTGTAAAGTCCCCCGTGACACAGGACATATTCCTAATGCGGGAGTTGTCTTTTTAAAAAAAAAAAAGAAAAAAAAGAAAAAAAAAGAAAAAAAATTTACTCTTTAGTTCCCTTCTCGCGCTTTATAAAATCAATATGTAGTACAACGCCTTGTAACGTACGTCCATTTCCTTGTAGCGATCACAAACAGACATTCAGGTCAATTCGCTTCGCTGCCGGTGTATGAGCGATACAGTATTGGAACTCAACGAAATATGTTTTAAAAATGAAATACGTGATTTCTATTCGATTTTGTCTGTCGTAGAAGTCTCATTTGTGTTCAAGCCACTGGTAAATAAAATGTACAATATTGAAGGTAGACAACGCTTTATTTACACTTTTGTTTTTGTTGTAAATGTATGTTGTATAGCTATTTTTTGTTAAATTTATTTGCTTACTGTTTGACAAAACAGAGATTGTTGATTTTGTGTGTGTTGATCTATGACTTTAGAGTCTACATAAAAGACGATTTCAAACAATTAAAAAAATAAAGAGAGTTTGAATTTGAATTAAGTGTTCCAATTTCTTACAGAAAGTTGCTATTACTGTGTTAAAGAAATTTTTATCGTCTAGATTTTTTTAAATCTTTCATGTCCATGGTTAATGTTGGCGATAATTGAATGTTGTTGACTCATTGACTCTCTAGTGTCTGTCATGACTAATAGTAATAATATAATTTATATTTAATCTTCAATGAATTTTTTATCAAATCATCAGAATTTTAATGTATTGGTTTAATATAATATCATCAACAGCCTTTAATAGTCCACTGTTTGACATAGGCCTCTCCTTGGAAAGGAGGTTTTGGCCTACTATACCACGCTGGCCAGACAGGTTTGTATAGGGTTTGTTTCAAGTTTTCCTTCTCTTTGCAGTGCTGTTGTTCTGCGTAGTTTGTTCCCTTAGTCGGCTCTTACGACATCCACTTGATGAATTGGGGTGGTGACACTTAATAATAATTTGTTTGCACAAGTGGCGGATCATGGAATGAAAATCATTAATAATTATGTAATGAACACCTATATGTAACCCATGTATCACAAATAAACGATTTGATTTGAGTCAAGTGGGACTGCTGATGCAAGTGTTTGCAAATACAGGATGTTATGGAAAGGAGAGATCATATTTTAGGCTAGTGTAGCAGACTCTATAAAGAATAAATCACAAGACATAAAAAAACTACATTTATTTACTTAACACCTAACATGTTGAATGGCCAAAATGTTTTCGTAAAGCGAATAAGAAATATTATTAAAATTGGACCTAAAATTCATTATACACGTATGAGATTTAGAAATGTGCACCTATACTGGATAAGTATTTCCAAAATAAAAATTAGATCTGACAGAACCCGCGCGTTTCCTCGGCTTCCTGTTACATACTTCCGTTCTTTTTTTGCAACGTTACTCCTACAGATATTGAAGGAAAACGAGAGGAAAGATTTTACACATGCGTCTAGATAAGTGGCAAAGAATAATTCTGTAAATGTATTTTAGATTTTCTTATTGTTCCAGAACATGGGTGCAAGGAGTTCCGGTGTAAGCAGCGGGAGTTCTGCGTGAGCGCAGACCTCACCTGCGACGGTGTAGACCACTGCGCCGATGGCTCCGATGAAGATACCGCCGTACTTTGCCCAGGTCAGCATCTAGCTATACTAATATTACAAATGTGAAGGTTTGGATGGATGGATGAATGTTTGTTACTTAATCATGCCAGAACAGCTAAACGAAATTCGATTAAATTTGATACAAAGATATATTTTGATCTGGAGTAGGACAGATTGATCTCGAAAATTATATTGAAAATTGCATCTGGCTCAGTAAATAAATCAAATATTCTATTCCAAATTAAAAATATTTCTTATTATATTTAATGAAGAAGTAAATTTATTTTAATTTACATGATTTCAATATTACTCAAGTAAGGTTAGGAAGAACTCACCAGTTCAGAATCTGCGTTTTCTGATTGCCTATAAAATATTTTGCGTTGTCTACTAATTGTAAACAGTTCCGACTTCCAAAAGATTACGTTCATTCATTGCTGTATTAAAAACTACAAATCAAAAATATTTTTTTCTATACATATTCTATACTTAAAATTAAGAATAGTTTGAAGGGGTATACAGCGTTGTTTTTACCCCAAGGTGGGTGAGTCATAAAAATGATTACTAATTAGAAGGCTTTTGTAGAAATAGTTGTCTTGTAATATTTATAGACTTTTCTTTTGTTTTTTTTTTAATTATTTTGGTGACTACGCGGCGAGGAATAATACAGTAATTTCGTTTGGACGAGTCCAAAAAACCGTGTAAAATCAGATTTCTATATAAAAACTATTGACTGTTTGTCGACAAATTTATGACCCTCAACCAAAAAAAAGGGTGAACCAGTCTTTAGTAGTAGTAGTAGTGCAGTTTAAAAAACACTTCACATTGTAACTTATCAAAAAGGTTTATCCAAAAATCAATATTTTTCACCCGTAAATAGTCTTGGTATTGCGGTTCAAATTCAAGAGAATTCGTTGAGAAAAAACCTGCCTAAAATATAGTTCTTTCTCTCTAAGCTAAATATATATCACTGGAGTACGTCACATTCTAGTTTTTTATAGAAGGATATATCATGAATCATGAGTAATAAAGTTACTAACACATCATAAACACAGAAATGCGATCCTCAACTAGGCAAAGCTTGGATACAGAACAAATGATAGTGCTTATTACACAATGGTTTGTCCAGGGTGGGATCGACCCTCTAGCTCACCAGTCAGGAGGTTCACTAATCAGTAGACCCACAGGCAGACAATATTGTCAATATCTAGCTAGACATAAATCCCAAAAGTCACCTTTTTATTTGTATTTCTTGATTAGGTTTTTTGTTTAGTACCGCTATCTCTTTATTTACTTGCTGCGTATTTTTTTGTAAGCTTATTTTTCGGTCAATATTTTTCGTTCGTTTGACTGCCTCATCACTGCTTAATCCTTGCACATCAAGGCTGGTTTATAAACACAGGATGATGTAGTCAAACAATATTAGCAGCATTGCTAAAAAATATTTGCTATGATTTCAGAGACTACTACTGAACTGAATACACTGAACACCACTGCCACAGTAGATACAACTTCTGGAGCAAACATCACTTCTGGTAAAGACTCGCCGGCTTAAAGAACCTGATGAGCGCTATCAGTCAGACAACAAGCGAGAATTCTGCTGTTTATTCAGACACCCAATTTTTTTAATTCTTATTTTTCTTTTCTTTTAAATGTTTATCTTTTAATTTGTTTGTTTCAATGTTTCTTTTTTTATTAATAAACTTTTTGTAACCTGTGTCATGTCTTGTTTTATTTTGCAAGCCAACAATTTAGTTTGTAGGGCGATAGCACACAACTCATCATCATCTTCTGACCCTGTTCTCAAAGTTAGGTCATCTCTAGGGCTCCATATGTCCATACCAGGATAACCTGTTGCTCCTCAACTTTTCATCCGCTACTTTCAGGCTTCCTCAAATGTATTCAGTCCTCATCTAGTCCATCCTAGTCCATCTACACATCTATCTTAACATTCGCATTTCTGCTACGTGCGTCTTTCGTCTTGCATCTTTCGTCCGTTCTCTTCATTGGCCAATATTCAGGTCAATGTAGGACTGATGAACGTCCCAATGATTTGTGTTTATAAGGATTCTTAACTCATACATTCAAATTTACAAGAGGCGTTAAGAATAATACATGGACCCTGAAAACAGCACACTCCTGTAATTAAGCTCCGTACCTTTAAAGCATGTTTTGCGAGCTTTTCGAGGATTCCATTGAATGAAAACGGATTTGTACCTTAGTTTGATTATAGGAATACCTGAAATCTGTAACAACATACATCCGTAACTGCATATTATATCCGTAACCGCTTACATCCGTAACTGCATACATCCGCATCCATAGTCAAATTTACAATATCGTAAAGTAAAAAAAAAGTTAGTATAGAGGTTTTTTTTTGAACTAGTGTGTCATAATCGTGGTGGTGTAATATTCCAGACAGCGGCGGTAGCGGCGCAAGCGGCACGTGGGTGGCGATAGGTGCGGGAGGGGTGGTGTTGGCGGCCATAGTGGCCGTCGTCGCCGCCTGCTGTGCGTGTCGCCACCGTGCCAACAATCAGCGCACGCGTTTACATTGTAAGTGTGCTCACAACACTAGACTAGTCTAGAATGTCAAATTAGTTGGTCTTTGTTAAAGTTAAAAATGGCTGTGTAAGTGACTTTTGTGAATAGCGGATTGTGACGTCATACTTCGCTGCTTTTGAATTGCTTATGTGTGCAGATGTTAGAAAGTTGTTTTGTTTAAAGATACCATATACCAACAGGAAAAAAAGCTATATGAAAATAAGAGATATACAAAAGGTAAAGTTTGAGATACCTTAAAAAGGGTGAAAGTTTCCAATCGAAAACCATCTGTCGGTTAGTTGGAGAGGTCAGATGGAATTAGATTATTTGATGGCATGTTAGAGAGCTTGGAATTTCCGACAACGGTCTGTTCGAGTAACCGCTATATCACCCTGATCTGCAATCACCTGTGGGAGCGCTGTACGCAAGGCTGTTTCCTTAGAGAATAGCACTGCCGTTTGAGCAATTGCTTACAATCCCCAATCCATTGATATTTCTTAATTTTCTTTAACTCCTCATTTATCAAATTCGTAAAGCTCCCAACTGATAGCAATAGGCTTACCTCCTATTACAGCCAAACATGGTTATTGAATACGCCTTTAGCTATCCCTTCAAGGATATTCCAATGAGAGTACGTATGTATTAACGGTGTGTGTCCGTCAGCAGTGCAAGAGATGGCGAGCAGTAACGGCGGCGGTGGCAGCGGGAGCGCGGGCGGCGAGGGCGCGACGCGGCTGCCGGGAAACCCGCCGCCCCCTGCGGGCCCGTGCGGGGCGGCGCGGGCGGGCCGCCTGCGGCGAGCGGCCTGAGCGCCGCGCCGCACAAGGACGAGTGGTTCGTCTAGCGGCCCGGGGCCCGCAGGGGGGGACCCGCCCGCCCCCGCAGCCCGCGTCCCGAGCGGCACACATCAGTACCGCCCGAGACGCCGGCGCACAATTCGGTGTTACGCAATGTAAATTTATCGATATGACATTAAACATTTTTGGCTTATTGTTCGTATGTTATTGGGTTGTCATTTCGAACTCTTCGGACGCCCACTACTCCCATCCTTGGTTTTGTAAACATGTGTAAACAGGTTGTAATTTCAGCGACTATAGATATTATAGAGAATAATTGTAATCATCAAAATAAATAAGTTTTTCGTATGAGTTTTGAAAATTGCTATTTATTCCTTCATCCTCTTAGGTTCCTTTTCCTAAAGAGCAGAACCCTCTTCACGAATATTCCACAAAAAATCTTTTCTGGTTTAAGTCGTTTATGGGGGCCTTATAGACCCTTTAAGACTTGTGCAGCTATAAACAGAAGTACAGATGAGTGACAGGAGTGCTAATATAAAAAAGCCCTACTTTAGGTGTTACTGCAAATCAGATTAAGCTCTTACTGATATTTTATTATAGAAAATATTTCTATACACTTTTGAAAAAAAAACCCCTTTTTAGGGTTCCGTACCTTAAAAGGTAAAAAAGGAACCCTTATAAGATCACTTTCTTGTCCGTGTGTCAGTCTGTCCGCGTGTCACTACCGATTTTCTCAGGAACGGGTAGACCTAGCAAGTTGAAATTTATACCAGATACTGAGGTCTATGGTCCCTATTAGGTGTATAAAAATCAAGGTCCTGAGTCAACACGATAAAAAGATATGGGCAAATTTCGATTTTTGCGAAAACTTGTAAGTACCAAAATTAACCTTAATTTTAGATAAATTTTGGTACTTACAAATTTTCGCGAATATCTACGTAAAATCTGGGTAGGTACGGAACCCTCGGCGCACGCGTTCGACTCGTACCTGACCGGTTTTTTTAATAAAAATACCACTCACGAAAGATTGTGCCATGAGAAATATAATTATTATTTACAAAAACCTTACCTATTCATTAAAGTCAAACAAAAAACGATGTAAGAAACAAAGCAAAAATGTGCTATTGCATTAGTTCTTCTTTGCACAGTATAAAATGAAGTCGCTTTTTGTACCTGTACGCTTAGATCTTTCAAACTACGCAACGGATTTTAATATGATTTTTACTAATAGGGAGAGTGATTCAAAAGGCGGGTTTATATGTATACCTAATACTTGCTTATTATAGTGGAGCAAAATGGAAAATTTTAAAGATTTGTAACGTGAAGTCGGTAAAAAAATGTTTTTGTGTGCTTACATTGCAAACGCTGGTTTCAAAATAGACCAAGTTCCGGATGTCTTTATATCATAACAGTTCCCGGACCCCTATTTCAGGGGCAGAGTGGCTCACCGTGTGGTTTTAGTCAGTCCGATTCCGACACACCACCTCGCCGCAAACCCGGGTGATGGCCCGGTTATTCCATACATAAAAAAAAGAGGCAGATCAAAATAAAGTTTTAAGAAATAAAGCAAGTTTGAGTTTATGTTAAAAGAAATAATCAAAATTATAGTCAAAAAAAGACATTGTGTGTGGGTTGACAAAATCGACCTTTGATTCTTGGTTGGAGCGAGTGACTCCATCTTACACAAAACGACTTGATTTGTTTGTCACGTTGGTGGTTGGTTGTGTAGAAACTAAGCAAGTAACATATACATAGTATGTGGACTCACTTATCAAATCTGTTTTCTACGTCACAGTTTTCTAACACCAGTGGCCACCATTTTTTTTTAAAGACAACTCCCGCATTATAAATATATCCTGTGTCGCGGGGGACTTTACAAACATACATGAAACGGACACAAAGAACACCCCTTTTTTTTTACCGTGCGGAAATCCCCTCGGATACCACCTATCGGTGGCATGTCGGACTCGAACCGACTAAAACCGCACGCCGTCTCGGGTACTAATAGCCGGGGAACCAGGTATACCCTAGAAAATGCCCCGACATACCTCGGGCCATCTACAGATGAGTAGATGACCCCCCCCCCCTCCCCCCGTGTGGGAACCCCATGTTCCCTCTGCTTCCTGGAAGCGAGCGCGCTTCGCAACGCGCTCGCCGCCACCCCGGCCTGCTTCTGCTAGGGTGACAGATGGCCTCACCTGTCACCCCCAGGCCTGCGCTTATGGAGGACGGAGGTCGTTCTGCTACCTACGGCGCCTGAGTCGCCTCCGGTACCTGGCCCGTTCCTGGGCATGGCGGGAGAGTTCTAAACCTCTCCCGGTCCCGCTCCGCCGTCTCCTTCGCGAGCATAACTTGCTCGCAGAAGGAGACGACAGAGTTCCACGCACTCTCTCTCCGCACGATAGCCGCAATCAGGCTATCTGGTAACAGCGTCTAGTAAAATATTTTGCCATCTAGATTCCTTTAATTTCCTTTATAAAAAGACAACTCCCGCAGTAGGAATATATTCTGTGTAGCGGGGGACTTGACAAACATACATGAAACGGACACAAAGAACACCCAGACTCAGAACAACAATTTGTGGATCACACAAAAGTGTTGTCCCATGTGGGGATCGGACCCACGACACTCAGCGTAGTACTAGTAAGCGGCGTGACGACCGTTTAAACCATTACGCCATCCATGCAGTCAAGGACTATATCGCACCGTATTGTTTAAAATTGTTCGAGTCTGAAATACGTGTAAGTACCATTGAGGTTCCACAAAAACTCTTTGAGAAAAAAAAGTACTTTCTACTTGAAAGAAAACCTGCAACCATTTATCATATATTAACAGCAGCACATTTATTAATTAATTTAGAAGTGTAGGACGCCCACAGGCCAGGTGGAGTGACGATTTGCGCAAGATGGCTGGCAGCAGCTGGATGCGAGAAGCCCAAAATCGATCGAAGTGGTGTGTAATGGGAGAGGCCTATGTGCAGCAGTGGCCTACGATAGGCTGATGATGATGATGATATCAGTCAGATTCAAATGATTCTTTTTCTATTCGTGTAGACTATTTATTAAGGAATATTATAGGTTATAAAAGATCGGTGCTTGCTGCCTCGGTGTATGTGTGTGCTAGGCTGAGTTCTCGGGTTTGATTCCCGGGTCGGACCAAATGTTTTTATGATCTGCAAATATTTGTTTCGAAGGAAAAAAAGTATATAAGTATTATATCAGTCAATCTTGCCTTCATATACAAGCTCTGCTTAGTTTGAAACTAGATGGCGTTGTGTGTTAGATGTCCGAAATATTACATCACGCTATGCATTGACATATATGACAAATGTCTTCGAAGCATTTGAAGTGGTTTGTGGTTCTGAGTGCTAAGGCAGAGATCGTGGGTTCGATTCCCACCTAGGATAAACAAGGTATGATTTAGGTATGATTTCGCGAAAAGTCTCTCGTCTTTCCCCAAGAATCAAAGTATCTCCATACCAAATTTCAACTAAATCGGTTCAGCGGTTATTGATCCTCCTTACAAACTGCCACCCCCTTTTCACCCCTCTAAAGGATGATTTATGGGATAAAAACTACCCTAAGTCCTTGCCCGGGACTCGGACTATCTTCATGCCGAATTTCATCTAAATCGGTAAAGCGGTTTAAGCGTGAAGAGATTACAGACAGACAGACACACTTTGCATCTATACAAATAAATTTAAAAAAAAATTGTCTCTGTCTGTTTTTGTTCCGTGTAATCTTCTGGACCGAATTTAACAATATTTTACTACCAGGTACTGGTACTGTATATATAAGGAGTAACTTAAGCTATTTTTTCTCTCAGAAAAATCCGGGAATCGAACCCACTAAGACAGCGCTTTTCAAATTCCACGCGACCGAACTCGCGGGTTAAGCTAGTTTATAATATTAATATGAAAGTTTATCAGTAGTCTGGTTATCAGAGTATAGGCTTTACCTAGTTTGGAATCAGAAGGCCGTGTGTGAGATTTATCAAATTATTAGATAATATAATTGTAGAACATATTACTTTGAAATACGCCATCAGAAAAGCAAAACAACCCTCGTGTGAATATTAGATAAGGAGACCTTTTAAGCAAAAGGCCTTCATTACAAATTAAAAAGGTACATGACGTAGGTAATAGGACAGGACACATGCCCGACAAGATGCGAAAGGACGGGTCATATTAAAGGTACAAAAATTAAGGATTTAAAAAAATACACGTTTGGGATTTTGATACTTAGTAAATGAAGTGTAAACGAACGTGTAACGAAATTTAATTAGAAGTTGTGAGAATTCAATTTACCTAATTAAATATTCATTTTAAAGTTAGCAAACACATACATATCATACATTCAAGTTACATTTTTTTTTTAATTCAAGTCAGAGGCAAAGGTGCCCATGATACGTTGCACCAGAAAAGTTGTAAATTTTAATTTTAGAAAAAAAAACAGCCAAGTGAAGGAGATCACCGCAGTGTAGAGTTCCGCAGTTTATTTCTACACTGTTTTAAACAACAGCAACACTGTGTGTTTTTTATAGTATAGGGTGGTTCACGACATCTGTCACCCTAGCAGAAGCAGGCCGGGGTGGCGGCGAGCGCGTTGCGAAGCGCGCTCGCTTCCAGGGAGCACAGGGAACATGGGGTTCCCACACGGGGGGGGGGGGGGTCGTCTACTCGTCTGTAGATGACACGAGGTATGTCGGGGCACCAGGGACTTCCTTTCTAGGGTATACCTGGTTCCCCGGCTATTAGTACCCGAGACGGCGTGCGGTTTTAGTCGGTTCGAGTCCGACATGCCACCGACATATGGTATCCGAGGGGATTCCGCACGAAAAAAAAAAAAAAAAAAAAAAAATTGGGTGGTACACGAACAGACACTGAAAACAAACCAAGATTTTTCAAATCGATTCATTGATAACAGAGTTCAGAGGTAAAACAAAACATAAAAAAAAACAACCAATTCCTGAACCTTCGTCCTTTTAAATAGTTCTTATTTTAAAAATGTTCT